TGAGTGAGCCCTTCCTGGGGCCTTCTCAGGCCATTCTACCCTGGGAGGCACCTGGAGCGCTAGGTAATGTGATCATCACTGATTGACACGTGAAGAACTGAAGTCCAGAGAGGTTAGGGAACTTGCCCAAGATCACATTGGATTCCGAGCGCTGGGGAGTGGCCCACACTGGTAGCCATTCTGCCTACAAGGCCTGTGACCGAGTGGTTGGGAGGGGCTGGAGACAGCCCTGTAGAGAGGTGACAGCTGAGCCCTGAAGTACGGAAGTGCACCAGGCATCTTGTGACGAGCAAGGGCAGCGCCTGGCGGAGAAGCAGCTCTCAAAGGAGAGGATGGAGGTCGTGTGCCTGGAGCGGAGTGAGCCGAGGAGAGGGGCCAGGCGCTTGGGGGACAGGGAGTGGAGAGCGGGGAGGACAAACCTCTGGCCATGCCTTGGGGGTTATGGTAAAGGCTGGGAGTTTATTCCGTAGGAGTGGGCAGTTTCTTGGGAAATTTTAACAGTAGTCACAGGATGTGTTGGAGAGTTTCAGACTCACTCTGGCACCCATGTGGAAGGGATTGTCAACCGCGTGGGAGATGTCTTCCACGGTCCACAGGAAAGGTGCTGGGGACAGGCTTTACAGTGGGCCCTAAACAAGGGAGAGAAGCGGTCAGAGGCCTTAGAGTGATCAGACCTGCTGGTGGTCTGAGTGCGATGAGGGAAAGAGGAGTCAGAGGTCATGTCCAGGGTTTAGCTCCTAAGATGAGTAGGGTCATTGACACAAAAGGGGGATGATCTGGGGGTGGGGGGTGGGAGACAGGGTGTCCATCTTCTCTTGGACGTGCTCGTTTGATCTGAGATGTATGAAAGGCATCCAGGTGGCGGTGTCTGGTAGGCAGTTGGATATGTGAGTCTAGACAGAGGTCAGGAGCCATCTGGGCTAGAGACAGAAATGTGGGAGTTGTTGGCATGTAGAAGTTTGGGCGCGTGGGAGAGGGGAGACACACAGGGTGCTGCAAAGGTGAATGTTTGGCTGCAGCGTCCATTGTGTTGTTGAGCGCAGTCCTCCAGTGGGGGTGGCAGCCCCGAAGTGACTGGTCAGGACTGGCTCTGGTCAGGGGGCCTTCAACTCTGCACAGGACTGGGAGGCTCTGCACACGTGTGCTCACGTGTCCGTGGGGCTGGACCCAGTCCTTCCTGCCTTGCTGGCCTGGGGTCTCCAAGTGCTGAAACGTGATGGCCTAGATGTGGGTGCCGGGCCACTCACTAATTGGAAGGTTGGGGTGATCTGAATCCTGAGAGAAATTTAGGACCTACACACAATAAAATCCGTTCTTTCAAATTAGGTCAGAGTCCATGGGATCAAGTATGGTTTTAAAACTTTTCATTATATTTCTTATAATGATTTAACTTGTATATTTAAAGACTATTTTGTAAACTTTTTTTTTTTTAACTCAATAGGAACTCATTTTAACTCAGTAGGAGCTCTTTTCTGTCATAAATGAAGCTTTTTTTTTTTCCTTCTTGCATTTGGGCAAGTTCCATATGTTAACTTATAGATGGGCTGATTGTGAACTTACACTTTAAAAGTATTCAGAAACATACTCTCACAAAAATTATTTCATTTTCTCTGTTACCACAACATTCCACATGCTGTTCCTGTTGCTAAGGCCTCTGGAATGTTTCAGTGCAGAGAAAGGATATAGAACTCCTTTTTTCCCCCTGAAGAAGACATTTAAATTATTTTGTATCCCCTAGTTTACATCTAAATATGGATATCTGGAAGAATTTAGAAAGCTAAAATTCAAGTAGCTTTAGGTTCTTCTCACAGGAACTCGGTTTCATAGGGTAGAATGAACCATCATTCTTTCCACAGGGATTGTGTGAGTGCACATGCGTACACATGCTGGCTTTTTAGGGAGATGTGACGTGCTACTAAGATTAAGAAGTGATTTCAGAGATGGTGCAAACCTAAGTTTGAGTCCTGGTTGTACTTTCTTGCTGGGTGATACGAGACGAGTTCTTGTCTCCATCAGTAAAATTAGGCTCCTATTGTAGGATACACCTTATAAAAAGTGCTTAATTAGTTCAGAACTTGGCACATAGTAGTCTCTCAGTAAATTCCATATGATTATCATCATTATTGTCATCATCAGTTGCAAAAAATTGTAAGTCATTGAAGAAATTGAACTTTTTGCAGAAGTACAGATTCCTGGTGCTCACAGAGGGACCCCTTACTCACTTCGTTTTATTAGCATTTCCGAGTCTCACAAAGGATGAAAGGAACCAGAACAGAAAAAGAACAGCTTTCTACATAAGCCTCATTGTGGCCAGTCACATCCTTATTATTTGAAAGGATTGATACAGTTTTTTTTTTTTTTTTTACAATTGCCTTATTTATAAAGGGGTGGGGGCTAATTCCCAGCAGTATCTGCTCTCTGGCAAAGTGACATTATCAGAAACACATAGCTTGCCATAGAGTGCTGTGAGGCACCACACAAAGCAGGCACATCGCAGAGGCCCAAGTCTAAACTGAATTCAGTCTCAACTGAAATCACCTAATTTATTTTTTTATCTGGAGGACAGTTGCTTTACATTGCTGTGTTGGTTTCTGCCATGCAACGGTGCAAATCAGCCATAACTATATATATATATATATATATATATATCCCCTCCCTTCCACCCCCCCACCCCCCATCCCCCACCATCCCACCCCTGTAAGTCATCGCAGAGCGACAGGGTGGGCGAGATCACTTAATTTAGTGCTTTGCTGCTAAGTTGCTTCAGTCGTGTCCAACTCTATGTGACCCCATAGATGGCAGCCCACCAGGCTCCCCTGTCCCTGGGATTCTCCAGGCAAGAACACTGGAGTGGGTTGCCATTTCCTTCTCCAGTGCATGAAAGTGAAAAGTGAAAGTGAAGTCGCACAGTCGTGTCCGACTCTTAGCGACCCCATGGACTGCAGCCTACCAGGCTCCTCCGTCCAGGGGGTTTTCCAGGCAAGAGTACTGGAGTAGGTTGCCATTGCCTTCTCCAAATTTAATGCTTTAGCTACTGTTTAATTAATAAAACTAATTAAATTGATTTCATTAGTGACCTATTGATTTGATATTTGTAGACATTTCGTATTTTTCAGCTGTAAGTTATGAATGTTATGCCATTTCTGTAATTCAACTTTTCCATCTTAATTGTCCTGTATCAGAGTCATTTAACCTAGGGATATATGAAACCTAAGGTAAACTACTAGTCTTTTTTTTTTTTTTTTAATGAAATGTCATGTCAAATGTAGCCATAGAAAGTAGCTTATTACATGTGGATCACTGCATGGATTTAACCTTTCCCCTCTCCCACCTGTACTATTTTTAACTCAGTGTGGGCTTGCTTTCGAGGAAAATAGCACATTGTTTGGCTCTTACTTTTCATGAAATTGTTAAGCTTAGTCACAGAAATCAGCAATCTGTTAGAACCTTCTTATATTCTTTTATCAGTTTATGTGGTCAAAGGTGTTCAGCCCTGACAGTCAACTTATTGGAGTTGGCATCTGTAAAGAATTTCTAGAAATTGTATTCCTCTGGTCTTAAAGGGACCAAATTCAAGCCACTCTTATGAGTCAGAATGAAATCTCAGGTATTGACTTAGACACAGTAGTTTACCTTTCTATGAATCAGTTTCCTCCTCTCCACAGCAGGGTTATGATGATATCTGCCTTAGTAATTGCAAAGGTAAAATGAGATCATGTAGAACGTGTTTGGTGCCACTCCTGCATCCCAGAATCATGTCGCTCCCTGGTATGTTTCAGATTCAAAGGCTATCTGTGTAGTTCAGTGTAAATAGAAACTGTCTAAGAAAATGTGAGCTATACCCACATGAAGATATTAGATCCGGAATTTGATATTTTAGAGATTATCGTCACTTTACATTACCTCAGGGCATTTTCTGTTTCCTCTAAAACAACCCAGTTCACCCAGGGTAGAAAAGGGTGAAATTAAATCTTACGGGAAAGAAAGCATATGCTAATCAGCTTTTTAGATCTTTTTCCTCCCTTTAAACTTGGTATTTGGTCTACTAAAATATTTGCCCAATTGAAATCTGCTAATTATCTATTCATTGCAGATATTCTAAGTAGAGCATCTAGTTTAAAATACCAATTTTGAAATATTTAAAAGAGTTAAGATTCTAGATTTGAAGTGTTCGCTCTGTTCCCTTGGCTGTTATAATTATTATTAACTGTCCACAGTTAGGATTTTTTGGTTAATCATGTATTATCAGGTATCAAGTTACTGTACTTTCAATTTACATATATATGCAGGTAGACTAGTTTTATGTTTAATTAAGTTCTCACTATAAAAAAATCCAACCTGTATTTTGCCCTGTTCCAGTAATTGAACCGAGATTAATGTATGCAGTGTTACGCTTGTACTGCAGTTCTTTCTCTTCAGTGGCATCGATATGTAAACAAAAGGACTGGAGGTTAGTTGTGACCTGTAAAAAAAAGTATGAAAATAGTTTTCTTTGTATTACATGTTGACGAAACCAGCAATTTTACTCTTAAGGGAAACCTCTGCTTTCTTTCTTAACTGCTCCATAGAACTCAGAGACTTGATGGCTGGAATAGAAGGCATAGTTAAATAAAACCATTAGATGGTACTGCTTTGTGAATTCCTAGACATTTTCTGTGGTTACAGATTCTTCCTCATAACCCTTATTAGACTTCTCCTGAAGTTGCTTTATTGTGTGAGGGCATTCATGGATCGTATTTTAATACATTGGTCTGTTTTACCTCATACTAATGATTTCTCATGCATTTTATTTTAACCCTTTCTAATGGTGTTTCTGTAAGCCTGATTTGGTTTCTCTCTTCATAGTCATGGTGCATCACATCAGTTACTTTTAAACTGGAATAACTTTTATCCTGTGCACTTTATCATAAGGCAGCTCTTTTAGGAAATATCACCACCCCAGATGGTTTCCTATTAACAAGAACCACGTGAGTGAGTGATGCTCTCTGTCTTTATTGCAGACATGCCAATATTTGGTCTCTGTCCAGCCCACGATGATTTCTACTTGGTGGTGTGTAACGACTGTAATCAGGTTGTCAAACCACAGGCATTTCAATCACATTATGGTAAGTGCTTAACCATTTAAAAATCATTATTAGAGGGTGAAAAGGTAGAGTGGGATTAAGCTGTGACAGCCTGGGTGGGGTGTACTACTCCTCCCCTCTGTCAGGAAGTAGGTTTTCTAATTGATTGAATGGGTTAATGCCTATCAGATGTTAGGGGTTTTCTGAATTTTCTTGAAAGGAATGTGCATTTTTCTCATTTTTATTAAACTTAGAGGGAAAATGTATTTCATAAAATCTTTGTTGAAATACTGCATCAGTGGAGTAAAATATTTGTTTTCTTCTAAATCCCATGGTTGTGAATTTAGCAGGTGGTAAAATTATATATAGACACAGAATATAGAGACATGGCTCTTTTTAAAAGAAATGTGATTTTGAAATGTCCAAGTTCAGTAGTTCTAAATCTCTCTGATGTTCTGATTTGTGAATAAGATGGAACTATGCTGTCTTCCCCAATCAAAATGTGCACGTACTTAAAATGAGGCATTGTGACTTCAGGGGTTTCATGAACCTCTGAGCCTTCCCTGGGCTGTGAGACTCCAGGCCTGTTAACTGGGTGTCAGTTGTGGGAGAATCCAAATAAGGTTGTCTTGCATTGTCATAGTGGTAAAAAAAAAAAAAAAGAGTTCTGATCATAAAGTTTAATTTTATACCCAGTAGCAACTCAGAATCTGTGTTTGAGTGCTCACTTTGTTTCAGGCATGGGGATGTGGTTATCATTTTCCCATCCATGTGGTTCAAAATCTCGCTGGAGAGAAAGGCAAAACTAACTGGATATATTTTTTTTTAATAACTGCAAGTTGTTTCATTGTTGTCCTCACGACTACAAACAGACTTGAGACAGAGAATAGCAACAGGGTCTTTCTGTAATAGAGCATTCAAGCAAGGCCTCTTTAAGGCGGTGACCCCGGTGACCCGAGCCCTAAGTGATGAGAGGGGGTCACCCATGCGGGGATCTGGAATAAACGTATGTGACAGAGGGGAGTGGCGGTGCACAGACCTGCAGATGGCTTGTGAAGTTAGTAAGGGAAGTAGAGACATGGGAGTCAGCCTTCTGGGCGGGGCCCTTGTTCATGTACAGGCTTGTAGGCCCGAGGAGGAAGCTGCCTGGGGGTAGTGAAGGTTTCTGTAAGGGAGGAACCCAGGACCATCTCTTTCGCTCGGGCAGACTGTGGGAGGAGGGTGGAAGCAGGAGAGCAGTTCAGAGGTGAAGATGATCACAGAGTAAGGCTGGGGAACAGCAGGGCCGGAGGCACAGTCCAGCTTGGAACCTGCAGGGCTTTCTGTCGGGCTGGGCTGCCGTTGTTCAAAGTCACAGCTTCACGATCACATCCCACCTTTTTCCCCCAAGGAATCTTTTCTATAATCATAAAAAGGTCCTTTGAGTTTCTGCTTCTGGGTGAGGCCCAGAGTAGGCACCAGAGTGAGCACCAAACTGAATAAGATACGGTCTCCCTGCTTAAGACTCCAAGTGGCTGGTATTGGAAAAGACAGTTAGCCAGTTGCCGAGTGCTTTGGGAGTTATAAAAAACAGCTTCCCTGGTGGCTCAGACGGTAAAGCGTTTGCCTACAATGCGGGAGACCTGGGTTCAACCCTTGAGTCGGGAAGATCTCTTGGAGAAGGAAGTGGCAACCCACTCCAGCATTCTTGTCTGGAAAATCCCATGGACGGAGGAGCCTGTAGGCTGCAGTCCATGGGGTCACAAAGAGTCAGACACGACTGAGCGACTTCCTTTCATTTTCATTTCATTTGGGAGTAATGGGTTTTGAAGTCAGACCAGACTGGATTTACATCTAAACTTGCAAGAACCATAGGTTAGTTGTTCTCCTTGAGCAAGTTTTCCGACCTCAGCTTCTTTTTTATAATGTGGGGACAGTGATAGCAACCTCATTGGTTCCCAGAGAGGATGAGGTGCAGCGGTATGGTGTAGCCCCTGACACTTGACAAGTCTGCGAGAGAGAAGAGGTGCCGCTGTGGGGACAGAAAGGTGTGTGTCGAAACTCACACAGCAGCCCAAAACCTTAAGAATTAGGAGGAGCGCAGATTGCTTCTTGCACTGTAACTCGGGGCAGACTTCTTAAAGGAAATCGCCTTCTTCACATCAGGCTATTCCGAAGAGTAGGATGGGTTGTTTTTCCCATGTGCAGATTGCCCCCATCAGTTGTTAGGTGTGGAATACATGTCCATTGTGGAAAATGTAGAAAATACTTAAAAAAAAAAAAATCACATACAGTCCTCTAAAATGGGAAGTGTTGTGATGGGGATGGACAGGGCCGTCACCGTAGCACAGATTGTGCACTGCACAGCCATATTTGGTGGTGCCAGGTTGGCCACAGGGCTGATGGGAGCAAGCGCGGAGGCAGGAAATTCCAGGCTGTCTGGAATGTACTCCACAGAGTCTCCATTGGCTGGAGCTGATGTACCCCGTGGGGAAGAGCTGTGTGCCAGGGCAAGGCTGGGGCTGTTCAGAGAGATTCAGTGCCATCAGACACCCTGGGCTTGATATGTCAGTGGGAACCTGCTGCAGGATTTTTAACACCTGAGTGATTTGGCTTAGTGATGCAGTGTGAAAACGGCTACTGTTTGCATCAAGCCCACTTAAAGGTGTTTCTTCTTCTAGGCCTTACCTAGTCAGGAGGAGGCCCTCTTGGTCCCCTCTTCCAGAAGCACTTCACTTAGTTACAGCACGTTTCTTGGAGATGATTTTCTTTATCTTCCTCTGTCTCTCATAGAATGAATGTCTGTATATTGAGGGTGAGGTAGGGGAGGGGAGAATGTCTTGAAATCATATTTCTTCTCTTTTTCTCTATCAGTCTGTTGCATACATAACATCTTCTAATAAGATACATGTTCAATGACAAAGGAATTGTGCTGACTTCCAAAGTAGAAGAAGGTGTGGTGTGAATGCAAGACTCAGTACATATTCCAGCGCCTTCTGAAAGGCAGGAAGTGCAGCTGTCACAGGCCACTGGGTGGGGGCTTTGGTCCCTCTAGTGGCAAGGGAGCTATTCAAGCTGTAAGAGACGAGAGGGTCTCTGGTGGAAAGAAGAGGGCCAGGTGCTGACAGAGGGATTCATTGGGAAATGTAGAAGGAGTTTCCTCTTTGGGGGCAGCAGCCGAGGGAAGGCTAATGGAATAAACAGGAGGTTTGGAGACGGCTAGGTGTATGGGCTTGGGGATGACTTCCCAAAGTGGAGGAAGGCACCATGTGATGTCCCTGGCCTAGTTCGGGAGTGATAGCTCACTCATCTGGAAAAAAAGAGGTGGTCAGGGGGCTGGGACCAGGAACCATTCCCAGCGTTGCCAGTGTGTTTTCTGTCTTTGGGGTGAGGGATTTTAGCAGGGATTTGCACCCCATTCTCGTTTGTTGTAATTCCAGAAGGCCTATTGCTACATGTTTGTTTTCCAGAGTTAAAAGCAAGACCTGTTTTTGAAATTCAAGAAATTTCTAAGTAGCCATTGCAAGCTGTTTACTGTATTAGGAAAAACTTGCACCTGCCAAAGGAGAAATTCTACTGTATTCCCTTCTGATGAACTTGGTGAAAATGTGTGGGCAGTCTTCTGTGAATTCATGTCTTAATGATACTCATCTGTGACTTTTATGAACAAGTGAGCAGTTGCTATAAAATTTAGCAGACAGTTCCTTTAAAACCACTGCTGCCTGGCCATGACGGGGAGGAAGCTACAGTAGCAGCAAGGCTTATCGCTCAGTTCTTGTTGATAATGTTATGCTGAATTTGTGAACAGGTTGTTACCCAAAATAGTGAGAGACCTGCAGACATACCTCATTTCTTGCATTTTGATTTATTGTTCTTCACAGAGAGTGTGTCTTTTACAGACTGAAAGTTGGGGGCAACTCATGTCAAGCAAACTCCTTGAATCCATTTTTCTAACAGCATCTACTGGCTTCATGTCTCTGTCATATGTTGTGAATTCTTGAAACATTTCAATCTTTTTCATTGTTCCTATGTTATTGTGATTTTTGACCAGTGATTTTTGTTACTACTTCAATGTGTTGAAGTCTCAGATGATGGTTAGTGTTTTTTAGAAACAAAGTGAAAGTCACTCAGTTGTGTTCGACTCTTTGCAACCCTATGGACTATACAGTCCGTGGAATTCTCCAGGCCAGATACTGGAGTGGGTAGCTTTTCCCTCCTCCAGGGGATCTTCCTAGCCCAGAGATCAAACCCAGGTCTCCCGCACTGCACACAGATTGCTTACCTGCTGAACCACCAGGGAAGCAAGAATACTGGAGTGGGCAGCCCTCCCTTCTCCAGGCGATCTTCCTGACCCAGGAAGCAAACCAGGGTCTCCTGCCTTGCAGGCGGATTCTTTACCAACTGAGCTGTGAGGGAAGCTCTTTGGAAACAAAGTTTTATTTTTTTAAATTAAGGTGTGTGTGTTCTTCCTGGTAGCTCAGCTGGTAAAGAATCTGTCTGCAATGCAGGAGACCTCTGTTCGATTCCTGGGTTGGGAAGATCCCCTGGAGAATGAATGGCTACCCACTGCAGGATTCTTGGGCTCCCCTGGTGGCTCAGATGGTAAAGAATCCACCTATCTTCCCAACTCAGGAAACAAACCAGGGTCTCCTGCATTGCAGGCGGATTCTTCACCAGCTGAGCTATGAGGGAAGCTCTTTAGAAACAGTTTTATTTTTTTAAACTAAGGTATGTATGTTCTTCCCTGGTAACTCAGCTGGTAAAGAATCTGTCTGCAATGCAGGAAACCTGGGTTCGATCCCTGGGTTGGGAAGATCCCTGGGAGGGGAGGGCACGGCAACTGGCTCCAGTACTCTTGCCTGGAGCATCCCCATGGACAGAGGAGCCTGGTGGGCTACAGTCCACGGGTCACAGAGAGTCAGACACGACTGAGCAGCTGAGCACATGCACATTCTTTTAGGGGCTTCCCTGGCAGCTTAGACGGTAAAGATCTCTCTGCAATGCAGGAGACCCGGGTTCAATCCCTGGGTCAGGAAGATCCCCGGAGAAGGAAATGGCAACTC